TTGGAATTTTTTTGTTCTTGAAAAAGATTTATATCCAATACCCAATCTTCCATAGGTTTGAGTTTGACTTTTAAGAATTTTATGTAAGGTATCTCTATCTTGAGTAAATTTTGAAAAAACATTTTAAAAACCTTCTATGTTTTCATTTAAAACAATTTTCTTCTTTTTCAAAATTTCATTTTCTTTTTGCAAATCATCTACTTTCTTTCTTTCAAAAATGGAAGATTTTTTTTCAGTTGAAAATTCTTTCTCATTTTTCATTATCAAGACTTCATTTTCTAAAGTATTGATCTTTGAAGTCAAGGATTCATTTTCTTGTGATAAGCTCAATATCATTTTCTTTTGACAACTACTTTTTGAACTTAGTTTTTTAAATTCAGCATGCAATTCATCAAAGGCAGTTTGTAATTCATCAAAAGTGAAGGATTCATCATTTATCTCATTTTCATCTTCAAGTGTCATCAAGCATAGATTTGTGACTTCATTTTTGCCAATATCAGTCTCTGAGTCACTGTCATCACTTTTTTCTCCCCATATTGTGATCGTGGCTTTCTTTTTGTCTTTCTTAGATTGTTTCTTAAGTTCCGGACATTCCGATTTGTAGTGTCCCAGTTTGTTGTATTCATGGCAAGTAACTTCAGATTTTTTATGATTTTCACCTTTTTGAAAATCTTTATTGAAGTTTTTCTGAAGAACTTCCTTACACCCTGTTTCTTCTTCACAAACCTCTTGAACCTCTTTGTAATGAATGCCATTTCTTCATCTTCTTCTGAAGCATCTTTTTTCTCTTGAAATTTCGATGAAGACTTAAAGGCTGTCCCTTTCTTCTTGTTCTTATCTTTTTCTTCTTTTCCTTCTTACATAATGAGATCATGGGTTAGGAGAGATCCCATTAACTTGTCAAGACTTAATGTTGATAAGTCCCTAGCTTCAATCACTACAATGACTTTGGTCTCCCAACTTTTTGATAGTGATCTGAGGACTTTCCTGACAATTTCAACATTAGTATAAGTTTTCCCAAGAGATTTTAGACTGTTTATAATATCTGTAAAGCGGGTAAATATTTGGGATATGTTCTCATCAAGTTTCATTTTGAAGAGCTCATAGTTGTGAATAAGCAATCTAGCTTTAGACTCTTTGACTTGAGTAGTTTCCTCATGAGTTACAATAAGTTTATCCCCAATTTCTTTCGCTGTTGTACAAGTGCATATTCTGTTGAACTCAGTAGCATCAAGTGCACAGTGCAACATATTAACAACTTTGACATTGGCTTGAATATCTTTATAATCGGCACTAATCCATTCACTTTCAAGTTTGGGAACCAACAGACCATCTATGGTTTTGATGAGACTTTGGGGCCATCTCAAATGATTTTTCAAACCTTATAATTGATAGATTGGATATGCATGAGCATATGGATTTTTCAATAGTTGAAATTTGTGCAATTGAAGAAGGGTGGTCTGTTTGAGGCTTGACCTTCAGGAAAAGAGAAGCTAGGGGTTGCCATAGATCACTCTAAGACGGTTAAGTCACAATACTAGAGACGAGACTCTAATACCAATTGTTACACAAGAAAGCAACCCAAGAGGGGGGTGAATTGGGTTATAAAAATTTGTATAGAAAATAAAATTTAAATAACTAAGTGTGTAAATGCAGTAGATATTTAAAACATAGAAAATAGAAGAGAGGGAAAGAAGAGCTCAAACAGAAAGATTTATAGTGGTTCGGCTTACCGAAGCACATCCACTCCTCAAGGTACCTCCTTGAAAATTTCTTCACTATATATCAATGCACCACCAAGCTTCACCTAACTTGTGGATTTTACAAAGGACTTACTTCAATCTGTTGAGAACCTCTCAATTAAAATGCCTCAGTTTACAAGTGTCTCACTCAGAAAATAAGAACGAGGTACAACTGTCATCTTTTTACAAATTTTTCTCTCTCAAAAGATGAATATGAAAGTGCAAGCTCATAGGGAATTTAAGACTCACTCATATATGAAAGTGGAAGTATAATGGAGCATATTAAATGCTCTTGAATGCTTTGGGTTTCTTGTATTGAAGAAGTGTAGATCGAACAAGGAGAGCTTCATCTTTATAGCATTAATGACTTCTAGCTGTTGAAGAGAGGAGATTTGAATCTTCTAGCCGTTGGAGCAACTTATAGTAGATATCTTCCAGCTGTGTTGGATCAGAGTATGGTGTATACAATCTGAAGGTTAGTCTTGGGAAGAGAAGGTTCAATAAATGCACAAGCTTTTATTTAATGCTCAACCTCACAAGTCAACTTCTTCGAGAAGATATGGTGCCAAAAGATCTGCTTAGGGGTCAAAAAAGATGACATATTCTGCACATAAATTTGAAAAAGTGGCTGAGAAAAGAGTTGTGTTAGTTCAGATCTGATTTGGCAGTTGGATTTTTGAAACCCAGATTTTACGGGTGTTGACCCCTGTAGATTGGGTGTCGACCCTTTGCTCTCTTCTCTTCTCTAAGTTGAGTTCTAGGTGTCCTAGTGTTGACTCTTATCATTCTTGGTGTCGACCCTTCCTGTATGATTGCATTATGAAATTCAGTGTCGACCCTTGATGTTTTTGGTGTCAACCCTTGTTGCTAGATTGCATACAGAAATTTAGTATCGACTCTTTCTATCTTGGTGTCAACCCTTGCAGCTAGATTGCATTCTGACCCTTACTGTCTTGGTGTCAACCCTTGCAGCTAGAACACTTAGGCATTGTGATCTTTATTTTAGTGTCGACCTTAACTATCTTGGTGTCGACCCTTGGGCCTGTTTTAAGTATGGATAAAGTTTTGCAACAAAGTGCTAATTTCATGTTTTGAGGGGCCAAAAATCATTGAAAAACAACACTATAAAAGCGTATATCTTTTTGAACCTTTGAACCACTAATATTATTTTGAAAATTTGAATAATAAAATGAGGTTAAGATATTTGTCAATAATCAAAATCAATACGAATTTGAATTTGAATAACCTTGGGGCTAACGAAGAGTGTCAAAGGTGCTCATGTTTTAGAGGCAGTCAAAATGAGGTGTTTATACCTAGATGGATGTTTCACCTTCGAAATTGATTCTGAGTCCAAATCTATAACTTCTAGGTACAAAATTTTAAATACGAAATAATCAATCTACTAATGAGGTTCTATATAACCCTTACAATGATGGGATTAGAAAAGTAACAAACAACTGACTACGTAGGAAATGCCAACCCATGGATCCACATATGAATAATGTTTTGGAAACCCACAATGTTACGATTTAAGTATCTTTAATTTCAAAATCCAAATTCTTCGTTTGAGTTTGAGCCTCTATATCGCTCGTTCAAGTTTCGTATCAAACTTTTAAATTCAAAGATGAAAGAAAATCAACATTACCCATTTAGTTCAAGATCAAGCTTGCAAATCTCTTGAATCTAATGATGTGTTTGGTTGGAGGATTTGGGGAGAGATTTGGAAAGGGAAATGGAAAAGGTAAGTGAAATGTAAATAAAACGTACCTACATTTCATCTAGTTTCACACACCTTTTCCTTTTCTCTTTCCAAATTCTTCACCAAATCCCCCAATCAAACACAACGTAAAAACTTAAAGAAAATGAATAAGAGATTCATCAATTGTAATATGTTATAAAACTATTTTCAAAAAAATAAAAAATAAAAAATTCAAATGGTGTGCGTCCTTTTTATGTTCTTTATTGCAAATAGGAAATTTGTGCACGGTATGTGCGTAGTTTGCGTAGTAAAGGAGTACATGGAAGTCCAAGACCACTGTAATTTGTAACGCAATGGGCCCATTTCTCAAGGCTGTTTCAGCTCCGAGCTTAATGCTGTATTTGGTTGGGGGATTTGAAGAGGAATTTGGAAAGGGAAATGAAAAAGGTAGGTGAAATGAAAATAAAATATGCCTAAATTTCACATAGTTTCACACACCTTTTCCCTTTCCTTTTCCAAATTCCTCTCTAAATCCTCCAACCAAACACAGCATAAAGAAATTTGAAAGAAACCTTTCCAAATCGCTGTCGACTAGAGCTACAAAATCGATGTCATCACCCTTTCAAATTTTGTCCAAAATCAATCATTTTGACCACGTTTTTGGGTGTGTTTTTATTTTTATTTTTTTGCAGTTCTTACATTTTCTTAAGGATTTGATTTTGATTTTCTTTTCATTAATGCTAGGATTTTATAATTGGTTTTTATCTAAACCAAATATTATAATAGTGAAAGATAACTATTGGGGTTCAATAAAATTTGAGATTACCTCTGTTGATGCCCTTTGATCTCGCATTCATATAGAATCAACAAGTTTGAAGAATGATTTTTTTTTTTTAATTTATTTACACAAAGACTCCCTGAATTATTAAAAAGTATTATTTTGATCCCCTAAACTATAAAAGTGTACAAATAGACTCCATAAACTATTGAGAAGTATTATTTTACCCAAACTATAAAAGAGTACAAATAGACCCCTAAAGTACAAAAGTGTACCTATTAGACCTCCTAACGAAAGGGTTAAAGTGAAACACGCCAATAGTTTATGGGGCAAAGTGATACTTATCGGTAAATAGTTTAGAGGGTGTATTTGTATGTTTTAATAATTTAGGGAATCAAAGTGATATTTCTTAATAATTTAGGAGTCTCCGTATAAATAACTTTTTTTTTCTTTCAATATTCAATTTTAAATCAACTGATTCAAAATTGTGCTTTCTCTTCTCTCTACACTGATCCGCTATATTAGTATGTTAAAAAATGCATGCTTATTTAACAACTTTTCCCCATGAGAAAATCTCATTAATGATTGGAGAAAAATTATCAGATCTCATGGTTCATAAGCTACACATCGTTGAGATTTTGCTAATAGAATTAATGTGAAACTTTAGTTAACGAGCCATATTGTCATATGTGCACATTGCTAGCAAATCAGTTTTATATATTTCAAATGAAATTGTATAAATATAACAAGATGGCAAGAATTTCAGACGTGAAACCTATATGTATAATCAAAATCATTTGTTGCTTATAATATAACAATAATATAATGGACAAGATATGTAACAAAATCAAGCATTTTTCATTACATTTTAAATACATGCAATATGAGATGGTTTCCTATTGCATGCACAACCCAAATAGTTAATATGGGAGCCAAATCACTAGTGGACAAAATTCCCCAAAAACAATATACACTAAAAATGGTAGCCCAACGCGCAAGGCTCCTGCAAAATCTAGAAGAAATAATTTAGATCAATTTAGATCAAAAATAGTTCCATTCCAATTCTACAAGATCAATGTGATATAATAACTGAATTGGAAAAATCCCACCTCGAGTTGTGATTTCCAGCTGACATTTACACCAAGAAAGAAGGAACATGGACGCCACCCTGAATTTGACTTTGAGAAACGATTTTTAATTTTCCAAGAAATCAAAGCCCCTTTACAAATTTGGAAGCATTTCTCACTCAACCATTCATGGAGAAAGAGAAATCATCAGACAGTCCTCTTGCAGATTTCACATCTCCATCACTGGTATAAGAGGAGTAGAAATCTTCATCGGTATCCTTGTCTTTCAAGTCTTCAATTTTCTCAACAGCCTCTTTCAAATCACACCTCTTCTCCACATCAGTTTGGGCACAAGCCAACCCTATCTTCAAAAGCTTTAGCATCTCACCCTCACTGTTTTTGGTCGCTCCCATATCCTTATCAAACACCTCACTGGTACATTTGTTATCTTCGTGAGCAACAGAATGTACCCAAGTCACCAAATCTGTGTCTGTGTTCGTGTCACTTCCCTTACCTTGTTGTAAATAGTTTGCTGGGAACTTCCCGGTTAAAATCTCCAATATCAGTATACCAAAACTCCAAAGATCCGTTTTCTTTGTTATGCGACCGTTTTGCTTGTACTCTGGTGACTTATAGGCCACCATGATGTCTTGGGCATGCTCTTGGTTGACTACAGGAACTAGGCCATAGTCGGTGAGGAGGGGCTCAAAGGACTCATTGAGAAGCACATTTGAGGATTTCAAGTGGCCATGAGGCACAATTAAGCTAGGGAGCTCATTGTATAGGTATAGAAGTCCCTTGGCTACTCCTTTGATGATTTTCAACCTCGCTGGCCAACCAAGGCTTGGGTGTGAACGGCTGTTGCCTAAAATCCATAAAATTATCTCCAAGTTAATTATAATTATATTTATATAAGCCTTTCAAAGTTGTAATATATGTTCATCTGTGTAGAAATAACGATGAGTCCTACTATTTTTTAGATATGATTAGTAAACCATTAAAATTCATCCAAGGTGCAGCCTTAAATGAAGGGGAAAATGTCATTTTGCTGATCAAGATAGTTCTAGGTTTTAAAAAAGGCCATGGTTGCCCACAAATATTTATAAAAATAAATTAATAAATAAAAGATTTGATCTTGAACAAAGAAGCAAGAAGAAGAAAAGATATACCATGCAGATGAACAGCTAAGCTGACATTGTCGACATAGCTAGAGACCAAGAGCTTCTCCTCCTTCCTATAGTAGAAAGCTAGAATAGGAAGCAAGTTGGGGTGTCTCAACCTACCTAGCCTTCTCATGTGCTCTTGGAACTCTTCTCTACCCACGTTGTTCATTTGCCTAAACCTCTTCACAACCACCGTATTCCCTGTCACAAGAGCTGCTTTGTAAGAAGATCCAAAGTAACCACTCCCCAATACTTCAGCTGAGGCTTTTAACAAGTCCCCCAACTCAAACTGGTTTGGGTCTTCATTCAAAAATGTCAGCTTCCCACTATTTTCCGCCTTCTTGCTGGTTGTGGAGTTTTCTGGCGAGGACGAGCCTCCTCCTCCTCCTTGCTCCATCTTGTCTAATTCGTCAGACCTCCCCTTTGACACCCGTGGATGCTCCGTTGTGCCTGTGCTTTTTTGAGATGATGATGAGGATTTTTGGCAACATCTGCCGAGGATTATGAAAACTGCAGCAATTGCCGCCAATGCTACCACCACAGCTACAATCAACACAACAACCGTTCCAACTGGCAGTTTTGACTCAGAAGGACATGCTTCCAATGGTGTTCCACAAAGAAGTTCATTGCCTGCTTGGACAGAATTACAATGTCGTCAGATTCCTGAAAATGCATTTCATAAATTAATTGATTGTCATACACTTCACTTGAAGAACAACCTCGTGAAACTGCAACATGAACATGGCAGCCATATATATTTGTAATTCACTTTTTTAAAAAAATTGTAAATTACATTTTGGGTTCTTAAAGTATGCAATTTGTGTCATTTTGGTTTCAAATATTATAATTTAGTTTTTAAAATATTAATTGTGTTTAAAGTAGTTATGTTGCTGACACCATTTGTATTAGTGGTGGAAATCATTTTTCTGAGGTGCAACTTTAGTTTCACATTTATTCCTGATTCTTTTGGGCTAATATAGATTGTGTGACTACTTCATAACATATTTATGACTTTGCGTGGACAAAATTGTGATTACTTTGACTAAAAGTGTAACTAACCCAAATTAAGAAATACTAGGTATCATGAAAAACTTTTTATGAAAATAATCATGAAAGTTTTGTAATCTTTGGATTACACTGAGAATAACAACAATGCTAGGTATCATGAAAAACCTTTCATGAAAATAATCATGAAAGCTTTGTAACCGTTGGATTACACTTAGAATAAAACACTACACACTAATCAAGATAATTCAAGGATCATAAATCTTTCATGATCATTTTCATAAAAAAATTTTCATGACCTCTAGCTTTTCTCCTTAGAATAAAGCGCCACACACTAATCAAGGTAATCCAAGGATCATAAATATTTCAGGATCATTTTCATGAAAAAATTTTCACAATCCCTAACTTTTCTCTTAATTTGGTAATGCCATAACTGTGGAAGGGAGATAAAAAGTCATCAAGACAAAGCGAGAAAATCTATACATTACTAGATTTTTTTTACTATTTTATATCATCTGATAGATTGTAAAATTTTATTTGCCTTCATTATTTTCTTAATGCCTATTTCTGAACAAAGAACTAGTGATACAAAACGATGACAAACAAGGGGGCCAATTATAGCATTTTTTAGACAAATGTATAGATCATACCCATGCCCACAGTGAAAAATGGAGGTGAAAATGGATTAGGTCGCACCTGAAAAGGAGCTGGCGTTCATCTTAGCGAGGCTAGCTGGAATTGGACCTTGTAGATCATTGTCAGAAACATTGAGTGACTTCAATATCCCTTGTTTAAAATCCGGTATCTCCCCTTGGAATTTGTTCCCCTCAAGGTTCAACTCAATGAGCTTAGGCAATATGGTCAATGACAGTGGAATCAAACCAGTGAACTCATTGTTTGCCAAATGAAGTTTCTTCAATGAATGCATCCCATCAAAGGCATTTGATTCGATTTCCCCAAAAAATTTATTGTTTGACAAATAAGCTGATTTTAATGCACCAAGTTTCTTTAAGCTCGACAAGCTTCCATCAAGATTATTGTTCATCAGGCTTATGGTTCTCAGAGCAGGCAAGTCCTTGAGGGATTCTAAATCAATGGCACCGGATAGTCCCATGTCCTCAAGCTTTAGCCCCCAAACATTCCCCTTTTCCTCACAAAGAACGCCAACCCAATTCTCCTTATTGCCAGAACATGGTGTTGTTTTTGTGTTCCAACTTGACAATGCACCATTGTTGCCCAAAGACTTCTTGAAATCCAGAAGGATTTCAGAATCAGACTTGCAAGAAGAGGACACAACTTGCAATAACAAGACGAGCAACAGGAGGAGAGACCGAGGAGGCAGTAGAATGTTAGGAGCCATGATATTAGGTGGTGTTGGTGCACGCACTGGCAGGGTGGCGTGCGCGCCCTTTTGGGGGGCTGCAATTGCAAATGGGTTGCAGAGAAGGCTTGGGAAGGTATGAAACTTTTGTGGGCATGAACAAAGAGAGAAAGAGAAAGAGGAGAGAGAGAGAGAGATGCCAAGAATAGTATGGAGAGTGAGGTTAGAGGTAGAAGGCAAATGAAAGGGTGGGGTGGTAAGGCTGACCGAGTCACCCCGCCCTCCTCTTCATATTTTGTGTGAGAAGTGTTTCTTGAGACTTCTCCGGCTGGCCTTTGAATAGGGCATACAAATCCCAATCACTACAATCTATTTATAGGTTTCCTTTTGAGTCTAACTTCCTCTGCAATATATAACATGTTACATGACATGCATGTACACAACTCTCTACAAAGGGTAATAATGCCTGTGCATATATGTCATTTGTCTCCGAATTTTCTTTAAATATGTCCTACAGCATCTTCAATGATTTTTGTGTGTGTGTGTGTGTGTGTGTGTGAGACTAGCATCTTCAATGATTTGCTATGTATATGTATATAATAGGAAGTAAACTGCCTATGCAATGCACACGTTGTTATTATGGAATATTTAAATTTTGTATTTTGATAGTAATTTTAAAAATAAGAATATTCTCTAATGAAATTAAATAGATTAAATCATTAAATGTGTGGTAGAATTATATAGATTGTATTATAAATAATAGGAATTGAAGAATATAAAATAAATCTTATAATTTTAACATAATATTATTTTTTTTTTCATTAAGACTAAAGTGATCATAAATTACACTACAAAAAAATTAAGGTTTTAGAGACTAAAATTAGGGATAAAATTATTTTTTAGGGACCAAATAGTTTTGTTGTGAGAAGTGTTGTCATTATATTTTTAACAACAAAAATTGGACATTAGTGATGAATTATTATCCTTTTGGGACCAAATTTTTTGTCTCAAAAAATAAACCATTTTGAAATCAAATTATTTTGTCCATAAAAGTCTATTTATTAGTAACATTTTCAAAATTTTGTCGCTAAAAGCCTTGTTTTTTACTTTTCAGGACGACCTTTTTGCGACTATCCATATGACGATGGAAATTGGTTTCTAAATGTCTTTTGTAACAAAGTTTTTACTTTTAGAGATCAAAACATTTTTTTTTTGATCAGCAAAGAAAATTTTCATTAACAGCATGAAATTAAAGGTACAGGAAGATGACATGTATCGAGAGAGATTCAGAAAGTACAAATAACCCCTACTACTGCTACTCGCATCCATACAACCAACTCCTTGGCCTCACGATTTTTTTTTTTAAACAAAGAAAAGTTAAGAAGAACTTAACTAGAAAATAAAATACATGAATCCTCACAAAATCAATCCACACAACTCAAAGCCAAAAACCGACACCAAAACCAAGCTGCTTCACTTCCAACGCCCACCTGCTTTACATATTTTTAAACTAAAACTTTCACTCCCAATGCCCACCCACGCTTGCTGCACGCCTGCTGATCCGACCCACGCCTGCTGCATGCCTATCTCCTAGCTGTCCTGCTCGTGACCAGCCATCTCCCACGCCTAAAGAAACTCCTTCCATCAGCCTTCTCCCACGCCTGAAACTACGCCTATGGCCAGAACTGCCACGTTCTGTTGTGCTGCTACTCGCACTCTGCCAAGTTTTTACTTTTAGAGATCAAATCATTTGGTTTCTAAAACTCTTATATGTTGCAGTGTCATATAGATGCTATGCATATATAAAGATAGACAAAATAAAATATATATTTTAGTATAAAAAAGATAAAAAAAAAATCACTCGGCATCCATATGACTATCGATTATAGATGAGAAAGGAGTTGAGTGTGACGCAAATTAAAATTTTAAGAAAATATAAGCTAATGTGATTTATTCATTTCTAATCAAAGCAGCCATCGTTTTTATAATTTCAAAAATAATATAATGTATTTTTTTATATAATCATTTTTCATTAGATTATTCTTCACACAAAAAATAAAAAGCGCCAAAAAAAACTTTTTTTATTCATAGCATGAGTAGTACCAAGTGAGCCAGGATTTGATTATAGAGAATTATAAATTTTCTTTTCAAAGAAAAATATCAGATAAGTCTTACTTTTTTTTTTAAATAAATTTTTTGAGGAAAAGTTACCAAAAAAATCAAATATTTGAGCTTTGTAACAAAATAAACTCTAAATTTTTAATTTTGTCAATTTGAACCCATATATTGTAATTTATTTTCAATCTAAAGTATTTACCTATTTTCAATAAGTAAAACTAATGGAAAAAATAATATTTTAGTAATTAAGCTTAATCGAAAATAATATTTTAGATATTTTTTGTATACTTATATCGAGTATAATGACTAAATTACTTTTTTTTTCTCTCTCTTTAATTTTACTTAACGAAAATAGCCAAATGGTTTATGTTGTAAACAATTCAAAATATTAAAATTTAAATTTACAAAAGTAGTGATTTAGGATTTTTTTTATTTTATTTCATGGGAAAGCACGATTTTTAATATATTATTGCACATTTGATAATAAGTCATTCAATAAAATACATGGAGTACAAAATAGATCACCAATTTTTATTTTAATTTCTTTTTTTTGCAAGGTTCAAATCTCTCTTCTTCTTCTTTTTTTCCTTTGTGGTTAATTTCCCAATTTTTAATAGGTCTTATTGATAACCTTTTCACCACTTAAAATTAAATATATTAAGTAATAATTAATTAAACTCATTTAATAACCATAACTAAGGTAACTTAAAAATTTAAGTGTCTATTAAAATGTAGGCTAAAACTAAAGAAAATTTTAAATAATATGAAACTTACTTAATTCTAACTAAATTTATAAATACTAAATATAAATATCGATATACACTATTATAAACTCACCACCACCATCGCTACCGCTTCCACAACTACCATGCTATCCCCACCACACCATCGCTGTTAGTGCCTACCACTATCACCATCATCACCATCACCATCACCATCATGTCAGCGACATCACTGTCATCACCACCACCACCACCACCACCACCACCACTGTCAACACTATTGCTACCGCCACCGTCATACCACGCTACCACCACCACTACCACCACCATCGCAATATAAAAATTGAAATATACAATTTGAAAATAATAAATTTTCAATTTGATCTTATACATATCAAACAATTTATTTTTAACTCATCACTTAATTTTTTATCAAATAGTTTTTTAACTTAAAAATTGCAGCATTCAAACACTACTTTAACATTACATTGTGAGAGGGTCATTTGTGTAGAAAAATTTGGCTGAGTTATGTAAAATCCTCTTTGGAAATTGGGCCGCGCAATGGGCCGATGTAGGATCCTGTGTAGCTCGGTTATGGGTTGATCTTGTGTTGGGCCAGTCAGAGATGGTTGTTTGGACATGGACCAAGTTATTTATGCACGATCAGTAAGTGGACTGAGCCGACTTCAGTGGAGAAGGCCGAGCTAGCTGTGGCTCGGCAAAGCACCACTCTTTGGTCAGGTTTAGCACAACTCGGCTAGAAGTAGAACAGAGCAATATGGCTCGGTTGAGCACAGTGATAGCCAAGCAAAACGTTCTGGCCATCTCACTTGGCTGACCAAGTTATTTATGCACGATCAGTAAGTGGACTGAGCCGACTTCAGTGGAGAAGGCCGAGCTAGCTGTGGCTCGGCAAAGCACCACTCTTTGGTTAGGTTTAGCACAACTCGGCTAGAAGTAGAACAGAGCAATATGGCTCGGCTGAGCACAGTGATAGCCAAGCAAAAAGTTCTGGCCATCTCACTTGGCTGGCAAAGAGAAGGGTGTCCTAGGAATAGACATTATCCTTTGGGAATGTGACTCCTGGAAGGACTCTGCTAAGGAGAGATAGAGTCCTACTATGATTGTGCCACGCGGAATCTATAAAAACTCATGACAACACCTATTTCCAAGTATTACAATTCAGACTTCCGAATTCACAGAGCTTTTCTGTCTATTATTTGTTTGCTGACTTAGGCATTAGACAAGTTTCTGACTTAGGCACCAAGTGATCAGACGACGATGTTTGGATGAGTACAAACTTGATCAACAGGATTATACGAGGCATATTATTTCATGCTCATACAATTGGCGTCGTCTGTGGGAGCTTTACAAAGAACGTACATTTTGATTGAGTTTTGCTTTGACTTGTTTTAATGGCGCACAATGAAGATTTGCCCCAATCTGTCATCGATGGATAGATGCCAGAAGGGAACAAAAGGCACAATGATTTGCCTTTTGCTCCACCAATGGCGGATTTGGAGCCTCAGCGGCGGAACCCTTATGGGGGGGGCAAGAGAAAAGTGAGGCTTGAGTCCACGTCGCTCTCAAAGCCCAAGGGACAAAGGAGGAGGACGAATTCCCAGACTTTAGAATATCATGTAAAGGAGCAAGACGAGTTAATCAAGAGAATGGCCGCAAATATGGAGGCCTTGAAACACCGGATAAAGGGCAAAAGCATAGCAGGAGTGGAAATCCGCGAAGGCAGAACGTGTTCTTGCCACTCAGGAGATCACGACTGGAAAACCATGCCCTTACATTCTGAAAGCAAAAGCCTCAGAACAGGCAATACACACTCAAGATGTGACGTCCCAAATTTGGGGAACATTGATAGTATAATACAACAATACACCGAGATTTAACTAGTGGATACACAACATTATACAAATAATTAAGCACAAAATATAAATAATTACACTAAAATAAAATATTAATAATAGTTACAGATAAAATTCTTCAACTCATTAAATGCAGATCAGTTTCTTAATACAAAAAGATTATATAACATACAAGAAATATAAAATCGAATCTCTAGGGCAACCATGGTTCCTCAAAGCTTTTAGGGATTTCGCTCTTGATGTAAAATTTGCCTTCAACTGGCATAAAATTCCATGAGCTTGGAATGCCCAATAAACACACACACCCTGTTCCTTTTCTCATTCCAAATATACAAGTAAAATAACGGCACGATCATGACATACGGCGAAAACAATAATTAAGCAGAGCTCAAAATTAAATTTCGGTTCTCAAGAATAATAGTTAATTAAGTTAGTTCTAGGAAATTCCCCATGGAATGTTGTT